ATGAAGTAGAGATGGAACGCATGCAACCTTCACAACTTTGGCCATCCTCAACCCCATCATCACTCAATATTAAGTTGTGTTTATGGCTGAAATGCTTTATCTCTCCAGGTTTGATTTCCTGAAAAGCAGGAGAGATAGCAGTCAAGTCATCTGATAGTTTGGACTCTTCATCTTACAAAAGATCTTTATCAATTGCACAATTTACATGAGCAAAATAGTTGCAATCTGCACAGCAGTAGCTCCCATATCCCAGATTTATGTCATCATGACAAATATTGCATTCACGTTTTCCAGCTTCCTCCTCATCTTGAAAGAAATAGATGTGAGAAAGTCGATGTGGATGCCTTATTATTTTGATGGTGCGGCGAAGTGAAGTGCAATCTGTATGAATAATAAGGCTGAATTCACCACATGTAAAGCAAACATGACTTCCATGCGTTCCACATGCATTACAGACGAACAAAATTGTGCCTGAAATAGGGTTCAACGGATGTTCATGAATTGCAGCTGTAATTGTTTCCAAAAAAGCATCCGCAGCTTTGAAATCAAGCTTACAAACAGAACAATAATAAACAAATCCCTCATAAGACTTGGTGCACAAATAACAAGAACATTTCTCTTGATGTGGTGGGGGTTTGGCCAAAAGCTTTAGAGGGTGTTTCCGGTGGGCAGAGCAATTGATCTTAAGAGGCAACTCTGCACATTTCTTGTGAAAGTAAAATATGCAATTGGGACAGCAGTAGAATGGACTTGACTTGTACATGTTTTCCCAACATCCTGAGCAGACTTCTTCTTTGGTTTGAATTTCAATATCTTCAACAAGTATCAATGGATGATCGTGGCTAAAATGTTGAAGCTTTTGAAACTCCTGAGCAACAAATTGAGGATGCATAGCACATCTAAGGTCAAGGTCAAAATCACAAGAATCGCATCGATAATAGCTGCTGCTTCATCCCTGTGATACAGGTCAGCTGGGTGGACTGACATTATTTGGATGTTCATATTTTCTGTGTTGGTTTATAGCTCTTTTTTTATCTGTTACTTAAATTTTACATTCATAAAATAGAAGTATTTCTTTCCTTTTATAATCTTTTATAGTCAGTTTTTATTGCAGTCTTTGCAGATGGCCTCATGGTTTAGACCTCATACTAACCTATAATGGAGAAATCTTCACATTCCTTTGCAGACTTCTATGTGATTTTCCTAACCTGACAACACATTGATTCTCTCCATTTGTCTGCGTGGAAAATGAGCACAGTATTGGTTTTCAAATAAGAAGCCTTAGATCTGATTATATTGGAATAGCTTCTGTACAAGTATCAATAGTTGTAAAGTAGCAAGAAAACATTCTTGGATGGTTTAAATGGTTTGGACTATGAGCAGTTTTCCAAAAAAGTTTCACTTCCTTTGGAATATTCTTTTTCACTACATGCTAAAGATCAAGAAATATAATAATTTATCTAATACAAACTGCACCACTTCATCACCTATGATATTTTGGATTATTTATGATATTTGTAATAGTAATTTGAAATTATTCAAATGGTTAAAAGAAAATTTTTAGCTGAGCTTCCGTAAGAAAGTGAACATGGATTTTGTTTGGATTTTTAAGGAACTATAATTAAGTTTGTGCATGTTATTTTAATTGGCTGTTGCTCCTAGCTATTGTCAGATAGAGATGGCCATTATGATTTTGGTGTGAGCAAAGCAAGACATAATTGTGGGTTATGGGTCATCTACATGGGACATTGGAGGCCTAATGAGCTCTGCCCTTAATTGGAGTTAAACTATGCATAGAGAATGTGTTCTTTCTTACTGACTTATCATGTTTCAAATACCATATGTTAAAATTTTCATCTGTGACTATGTTCTCTGTTCCAGTTGTCTTGGTTTGCTTCCATTATTCCTATGGCTGTCTAGGAATCACCTAAATCACCTAACTATTGTGTGTTATGAAGTGTTTTGTAAAGAAAGATGGAGAAGACCAGAATGATCCTACCATGTCTGAGTTTCTTGAAACTTTACTCACTGCATATCATGATCCAGATTTGATGCTAATCCAATATTCCAGGTGCACTAGCTACTGAAGTTTGAAGTTGCCATATCTAGTTCCAATGTTCCGGGTTTACTAGCTGGTAAAGTATTATTCTAACTGAATTTGGAAATTGATAAGTAGCTATATCTAGTTCTAATAGTATTCTAATTCTGTAGATGGTCTGTGATGCTAACAAAAGGAAATCCCTTCTGTGCATATATTAGATGAAGCCTTTCCAAAAATTAGGTTGCTACAGCATGATATAG